ATTAGCTGGGCATGGTGGTGCGTGCCTGTAATCCCAGCTACTCAGGAGGCTGAGGCAGGAGAACTGCCTGAGCCCAGGAGGCGGAGGTTGCGGTGAGCCGAGATCACGCCATTGCACTCCAGCCTGGGTAACAAGAGCGAAACTCCGTCTCAAAAAAAAAAAAAAAAAAAAAAAAAAAAAAAAAGGTTAAGATGGTAAATTTTATGTTACATGTACTTTATATTAAAAAAAAAAATTAAGTCTGGGCGCGGTGGCTCATGCCTATAATCCCAGCACTTTGGGAGGCTGAGGCGGGTGGATCACGAGGTCAAGAGATCAAGACCATCGTGGTCAACATGGTGAAACCCTGTCTCTAAATACCAAAATTACAAAAATTAGCTGGGCATGGTGGCGCATGCCTGTAGTCTCAGCTACTCAGGAGGCTGAGGGAGGAGAATTGCTTGAACCCAGAAGATGGATGTTGCGGTGAGCTGAGATCGCGCCATTGCACTCCAGCCTGGGTAACAAGAGCAAAACTCTGTCTCAAAAAAAAAAAAAAAAAAAAAAATCAAAAAAAAAAAAAAACCACAGAAACCAAAACTTTAATCTCCGAATGTTTAAATATATACAAATACATGTGAATTGTGTGTGTGTACAACATGCCTAGATGTATACATGAATAAGTGATGATTATACTACCTGTAAAGGTCTCTAAAAGGTCTCTAACAGCTCTTCGTGTATAACTTCAGCATAGCATAGCGATTAAGAGCACAGACTCTGGAGCCTGACTGGCTGAGTTTAGAGTCCACCTCTGCTACTTGCTAGCAGGGAAATTACTTAACCTCTCTATTTCTCAGTTTTCTCATCTCCAATATGAGGATAATAATAGTAACCTCTTGCAAAGGGTTATTACAAGGATTAAATGAGTTAATATAAGTCATGTGCTTGGAACAGTGCCCACAGACAGTAAGTGCTATGTGTTAGCTATCTGCTTTATTTCTTTAAGAGACAAAATAATTCTAAAGGGTTGATTTGGTTTTCTGTTGAATTGATATGTACCCCTGGCCTTTAAGACGGAACAAGTATCCAATCCCTTCTGCCTGATAAACTTCCCTTAGGCACCTAATTCCAACCATTTCTTGGGGATTGCACCACTGACTTCAGAAAGGGGAGTAGGAAGGAATGCAAGTATCTCTGTATCTAAACCTCAAATCCCAAGTGAGTCTGTACGGTCATCTAGCACAACATCCTATTAAGAGTTAACACAATCTACTCGTAAATAAGAAGGCATTTTGCTTAGCTTATAGCTTTTGCTCTCGCCTGTCCAATCACAGCAGCTGGCAGAAGCATGAACATTTCGGGAAAAGTTAAGGAAATCACAAGAGTCATATATGAGTCATCTGTCTCCTTCCCTTACATCCACTCAGGCATCGACTCCTGTTCGTTTTTTTCTTGCAACATGTTTCTTAGTTGCCCCAATCATGACAATATGCTCTGTTGTGCCCCATGAGGTGGAAAGATACCAGTAAGTCATGGTCCTGGACAGGAAGAGTTCACAGCACATTTTTCTAGTGGAGACCTGCAACCATAGATTGCTGTGTAGCTTCACACTCCAGGGGCTCCCCCACCCATTCAAGTCTTGCTGCTTGCTTCCCCTCCTGTGTTATTTTCCCCATGCTGTGCTGGACTCTGAGGCTTCAAGGATAAATCAAGCTACTCTGCCTGGATTGACTTTACCAATGCACTCTCCTGCCAAGCCAGGCTCCTTCCTGACCACAAAGGATAACTTTTACCCTCATTTCTGGGTCTCTGCTCCTGCTATTTCCCCCACCCAGAATAAATTCCCCACCTACTCAAATCCCACTCATCCAGAAGATCTAGCTCAAGTTTTACATCCTCCATAAAAATATTAACCTTCAGTTTTTTCTCTTTTGAATGCCTATAGTACTAGTTGTTGGAACCACACAGCCCAGCCACTATAAAGGCGTCTCCCACATAGCTTCTTTTTTTTGTTTTGTTTTGAGACAGAGTCTTGCTCTGTTGCCCAGGCTGGAGTGCAGTGGCCTGATCTTCACTCACTGCAACCTCTGCCTTCTGGGTTCAGGTGAGTCTTGTGCCTTAGTCTCCTGAGGAGCTGGGATTACAGGCACCCGCCACCATCCCTGGCTAATCTTTGTATTTTTAGTAGAGATGGGGTTTTGCCATGTTGGCCAGGTTCATCTCAAACTCCTGGCCTCAGGTGATCCACCCACCTCAGTCTCTCAAAGTGCTGGGATTACAGGCATGAGCTACTACACCTGGCCTAATATAGTATCATTAGCTTTTTAACGAGTGGTCTGCACATACTTTCATGGGTCCCAAGCAGTCCTGTAGTGCTACCCCGGGAGGTATCCAGCTCCTCTGCCAGTCAAGGACTCCCATTACTTCTGCTTGGTAGGAGCACTGAGTGCAGTGGTTAAGGGCATGGCCTCTGGAATCAGGCTGCCAGGGTTGGAAACCTAGCTCTTCCAATTTGCCAGCTACGTGAATTTGGGCAAGGGTCTTGGTCTCAGTGTGCCTCAGCTTCTTCATGTACAAAATGGGGCTAATAACAGCACCTGCAGGTTAGGTTTTTGTTAAACATTTAATGAAATGGCACAAGTAAAGCACTTAGAAAACTGCCAGGCATAAACACTATATATATGCTAGGTGTAATTAAGACATGCCACAATGTGGGCCATTGAGTGGGACCAATTAAACTAAGCTAGTAATCTAATCACTTTTATAAACACTCTGAGGATTAGAGCTGGAGGAACTCTTAGAATTTACAGAGCTCAACCTCATTTCACAGATGAGAAAACTAAGTGCAGCACAAAAGAGAGGAAATGACCAGCCCAGAGTCCCACAGCTGGTAAATATCAGAACTACTAAAACTCAAGTCTCCTCACTGAAGACATCTAATTTTTTTACCCACTGTACCTCAATGCAATTCGATCAATACTTTTAATAGGAAAAGAAGTTTCTGCATTCTAAATAAGCAAGATAAAAACAAACCATTGTGACAAAACTGATGAAGTTGGGAGTTGCCAGTATTGTATAGATGGCCAGTTGTTGTTTCAGGTGTGTGTGGGAGTGAGTCTGTAGGAGGGAGGGTGCTGGAGTGGCACTGTGAAAATCAGGAGGTGCGGCCAGGCAAGGTGTCTCACACCTGTAATCCCAGCATTTTGGGAGGCTGAGGCACGTAGATCACAAGGTCAAGAGATCAAGACCACCCTGGCCAACATGGTGAAACTCCGTCTCTACTAAAAAATACAAAAAGTTAACCAAGCGTGGTGGCAGGTACCTGTAGTCCCAGCTACTTGGGAGGCAGAGGCAGGAGAATCGCTTGAACCCGGGAGGTGGAGAGGTTGCAGTGAGCTGAGATGGCGCCACTGCACTACAGCCTGGCAACAGAGTGAGATTCCATCTCAAAAAGAAAAGAAAGAGAAAGAAAGAAAGAAAGAAAAGAAAAGAAAGAAAGAAAGAAAGAGAAAGAAAGAAAGAAAGAAAATAAATCAGGAGACTAATGAGATGGGTAACTTTAGACAAGTTTCTTCCCTTCTGTGGACTGCCATGTCCCCATATGATTATGGAAATCAGGTGTCCCCAGATGAACTAGAGGCCCTTTTGGGGCAAGAATTTTGCTATACACTCTCAGGTTCTAAGCCAACCTACAGAGCCTGGCTCAGTACTAAATAATTACTGATGGATAAGTTTCGACCCTCCCTCAGGTCTCTACTCAAATGCCACCTTTCAGTAACACTTGTTTTCTTCTCAATCCACCCTTTTTACAACGGCAATCCTCTTCCCAGCTTTGTTTTTCTCTACTTAGCACCCTCAGACATATAATATATTTTACTACACACACCCCACCCCCGCCAATAGTATATCAGTTCCACAGGGCAGGGACCTGATCTGTTTCAATAACTACTGCATCCTCCGCCCCTAAAACACTGCTTGGCACAGAGCAGACTCCGTATATTTTGTTGACTGAATCCACAGAGGGCATTGAGGTTTCCTAATCAACACTTCAACTTGGATTTCAAAGCACATTGTTAAAAAATGCGATAAGCATATAGGTGTTTGTGTCAATGTGATAATAAAACCCATACAATTTGTGGCTTTCAGGGTCACCAAAAACGTGTGGAAGGCCACTCCTTACAGGAGCTGCTCCTAAAGAAATCATTAACTCCCAATTTTTCACAACTGCCGGGTTGATTAACTAGAAGTTACCAAGCAGGGTGAGGGAATATATAGGAACTCTCTGAACTATCTTTGCAACTTTTCGATTAAATCTACAATTATCCCAAAATATAAGGTTTATTAAAGAGAGTAGGGCAGCGGAAGGTGGTGGGGGGGTGCATCTGCCGGGACGCTGTTCTGGGTTCCCCAAAGGATTTCTTGGATGCCAGAGGAGGTCATGATCCTCACGTCCATTTTCAACAAGGACTGGGGTAAGTTTAGAGGTTCCCTTCAACTTCCACCCGCAAGAGTCACCCTTAGATAGTGAGGATTGGCGCGGCCTCGGGCAAAGAGCCCCGGCGAGTTCTCAGCTCGCCTGGACTTCGGTCGGCGACCCGCCGGCTCTGGCTCCTCATTTCCTCCAGGGATCAAAGACGACATTCCGGGCGCTGACCCGCGGCCCTCCGACGCCGTGGGCAAGTTTCGGAGCCGACCTCCCCTCCCCCGGTCCTGCTCCCCTGTACGGCAGCCTCCTTGGCTCTTCCCGACGGCGCAAGGGAAGTGCGACGACAAGGTACCGTCCTCCTACTTCGCCGCCACCTCCGCCGCACCAGGAGTTCGGGAAAACCCCGCAGCTCCCGGGTCCCACCTCGAACCTGCCCCAGTACTGGGCCCCGGAGATCCCGCGCGGGAAGGGCAGCTCCCAGCGCCCACCCCAGCTTCGGCCCTCCGCCCAGTGGTGACCTCCCCGGCCTTTCAGCCGTGACCCTCGCCGCCCTCTGCCCTCCGGCCTCTCCTCGGACCCCGGGGACCGCACTCACCCGTGGGCGCGGCGCCCCCACCCCTGCCGACTGCGCAAAGCAGCAGCGCCCACAGCCCGCAGAGCCGCGCCGGCCGCTCCATGCAGCCTCTCGCCTCGGAGCCCGGCTGGGCTGGAGCCTCGGCAGTCCCCGCCTCCTTCGCTCCCTCTCCCACTTCCCGACTCCGCCGCCCTGGAGGCTGGGGGCAGGCGCAGACGGGAAGGGCCGCCCCGCCCACCGGCCTCAGGTAACCTGGGCCGGCGAGCGCGGGCAGAGGGGGCGGGGCGGGGCGGGGCGGGGCGGGGCGCCAGCGGCTCTGGCTGCCCCTGCGGTTCCCAAGGCGCGACACCTGGCCCACCCGCAGCTCCCGGGTCCGGTCTCTGACCGAGCAGAACTTCCTCGACCACGTCACCGCCCACTCCGGACGCTGCCCAGGCCTCCTCCCTCCGCGTGACGGAGCCGGCGTCGCGGCTGCCTGCACACTTGCGTGCCCTCGGAGGTGCTAGGTGCTGTGCCCTGCCGGACACCAGGACACGGTCATCTGCAGAAAAGAGCCTTGGCCTGGAAGTCTGGAGACCGGGCTTCCAGTCCTTGACCTCTGAGCCCTTCTTTGCTAGCGCTGACTCCAGCGTTAGTAATACCAGACCTACTTTTCTGGGTATGCTTGGGGACCCTGGCAACACTGTGCTTTGTGAAAAGGACAAAGGGCATGTTTGAAAGCTGGCAATACCTAATGTTGATTTTAAAAGGAGCATTCCAAACACGAGGAACAGTACCATACTTGCGTTTTTTAAAGCACACGACCAGCTTTTTATATATTTTTCAAGGGGATGGGAGATGAGTCGAAAGAATACACATTGATACTTGGGCGCCTATGAGGGTCAGTGAGTCTGGGAAGAAGGAAAACTCCTTAGGAGTTTCCTGCTGCTGCTGTCACAAATTACTGCAAATGTAGTGATGTGACTTAACAGTTATATTACAGTTCTGGAGGTCAGAAGTGACACTGACTTGTAATCGAGGTGTGGGCAGAGCTGTATTTCTTCTGGAGATTCTAGGACACAATTTGTCTCTTTGACTTTTCCAACTTCTAGAGGCTGCCCACATTCCTTGGCTTGTTGCAGAACCGCTCAGACCTCTGCGTCCCTTATGGTATCTGACTCTGACCCTCTTACTTCCCCTTTTCCCTCATAAAGACCCTAGTGATTAGATGATATTGACCAGATAATTCGTAATAATCTCCCCATCTCAAAATCTGTGATTTGATCATAACTGAAAAGTCATTTTTGCAATGTAAGGGAATATATTCACAGTTGTTGGGGATCAGAATGTGGAATCATGGGAAAGGGGCATCATTCTATCACCTTCTCCCAAAAAAGAGTCATGTCTAGATGGATGGTGAGACCCATAATGAGGTGTATTTTGGTTTAATGAAACCGATGCTATACCTGAAAACAGTTACAAAAAGTATAGCAATAAAAATGCTGATAATGTACCTAGTCTAGGCCCCACCCAGAGGGCACAGGGATGTTTAAGCTATTCAAAACAAAGGTTCCCCTCTTGGAATTAAGAGTGGAACCCTCAAGTTCAATAAATATTTATGAAATTGTTCCAGGAACTGTGGAAGACACTCATCGAAAGCAAGCTCTGCGGACAGAGAGCTTCAGTCAGTTTGAGGGGCTATGATAAGGGGAAGAGCAAGGAATTGTGGGTTACAAAAAGGGTGCCTTATGGGAGAGAAGGAGCAAGGGAAGCTTCCAGGAGGAGGGCCTGCCTGTGGTGAATGTCAGGATGTTGATTCTTGTGGCTAATGGTTCAGAATAAATTCCAGAAGCTGCACGGTGGCATGTACCTGTAATCCCAGCTACTCTGGAGGCTGATGTGGAAGGATCACCTGAGCCAGGAGCTCAAAACCAACCTGCGAACAGAGTGAGACACTGTTCTCAAATCATCGTCATCATCATCATCATCATCATCCTGGCCTGCATATGCTATTGAACAAAATAATGTTTATGAAAAGTTTGTAAAGTATCAAAGCCTGTAGAACTGAGCGATATTATCATTATTTCTAAATCCGACACCCCAAATAGGTCAGCCCCTGTGTAACCCGAAGCCTTTCCTTCCCCACCACCACAGACATATACACTTGTTGACATTTGCTATAAACATTATGCAATAAGTTTATAAGAACGTTTCCAAAATGGTTATGTCATCTGCCTTTTAAGGAGTCTTAGTTGGAACAGGAGCCCCTGGAGAGTGGCTGAGTGCCATCGTGGGCACTGCTTGGCACGGATTGAGCAAGCACTTAATAAAACGGTAATGGTAGCAAATGATTAGAAAAACAGAGATTGCAACTTGTCATTAGCTTCCAGAAAAGCCTGGAGAATTTGAACATTGTGAGAAAAAAAAAAAAAAAAACCCAAAGGGCAGTGTGCAGAGGGGAGACCTGATTTCTTTTCACCAAGATAGTTCCAGTCTGCTGTCCTTAAGACTATATAGTTACTTTCCTTTCTTCCCAACCCTAAACATCATGCAACGATTTTTCAAATGTTTGGAAGGGGATGGAAAGGGCCAGGAATGCTGTTTCCTCAACATAAAACTTTTATTTGTAACCTCCGTGTACTGTGATTCAAAGAGTGTCTTGGATTGAATCAGGCCACCTCCCTGGTCTGCAGGGAGAATGAAGACAGATAGAAGGCTTTCCAGGAACTGCAGTAGACAAGGAGCTCTCAGTATGGCTTTGTGTAAATCAAACTCATGATGAGTCAACATCAAGTTTAACCCTTCGAGCCCTGATAACTTGGGTGTGAGACTACCAGTGGCCTTTCTTTCACTTTGGCCTAGGGCAGCTGGAGTTCTGCACTGCCCTGTGTACCTAGGCCACTCCGGTCAGCTGTTTTGACCTTTGCCCTTCTTTCTAACTAAGGCTTCGTCCTTTTCTGTAACTGGAGGCTGAAAAGGGCATATATAAGAAAATGTCTGGCAGAAAACAATGATGTCCCTCTTTCCAAAGTCAGGTCTCCTTTCATCTAGTTAGAGATACCCTCCTGAGTCCCAAAGGGACACAGACACCAGCATATTCCAAGGGCTTAGCTAAAAGTGCTGGTCCCTTAGACAAAAATCTCACAAAGGGTCCTCTACCTTTTATTAAGCAAAAACTTCACACCATTGCAATCGAAAGAAAAAGGAGAAGTTGAAAACAGGGAATTTCCCTCCTGATTCTAGATCAATGGTTCCCAACCAGGGGTGATTTTATATCCCACGGGACATTTGGCAATATGGAGATATGTTTTTGGTTGTCATGACTGGAGCAGGGGGCCTGCTTCTGGAATGCAGTGAGTAGAGGTCGGGGATACTGCTGTTAATACAATGTATAGACTGCCCCCACAACAAAGACTTATTCTACTGAAGATGACAGCAGTGCCAAAGGTGAGCAATCCTAAACTAGAATATTCTTTGTTGTCTTTTGTACTCCACCCACCCAGTGTCCCCCATGCCTGGCCAAAATTAGAGACGAATGCTAAAAGTACTTACTCTTGACAACTCCCTTTCCTGTATCTAGTACCCCGAGTTCCCCATCCACTGTCTAGCCCTGCAGTCACTTATGAGATGGTGAAACGTCTCTCAGGTCTATTCTTCCCCCCACCACCCAACTTCACCTCTTTGCTTCTATTTCAGGCCTTTGTCACTGTTCTAGCAACAGTTTTCAAACTGGATCTACCCTTTACAAGGATCTTCCCAATGAGCAAATCTGTCCATGTCACTCCTCAGCTTAAGCTTAAGTGACACCCCTCCCTTCACATGCTCCAAAAGGCAGTCCCAACTCCTCTGCCGCTTCAGGATAGATTCCCCACACTTTCCAACTTCACTTCCAGCCAGGCTTCCTGGTCCCAGGTGGCTGGCTGGCCACCTTCAGGCTGAATGTCCCTTGTGAACAATTGTGTTTGGTCCATATCATGTTGGAATTTATTGGGATCTAGATGCCAAAGTTATTTTTAAGTCAGGAGATTTTACGTAAGGCCCCAGATTTCCAGCTTCTTTTGAAGAAATCAAAAGTCCTGGTAATATTGGACCTGTTTCAGTGTGGCAACCATCAGCAGATGTCAGATGGGCTGTCGCCTTGTTAACAGGGGACGTATTTCCTGTCTGTACAGGCCCTAGGGCTCCCTAGTGCTCTCTGGCCTGCTCAGCGTTTTCTCACTTACGATTTGCTTGTCACCTGTGATATTTTCTCACTACAAACCTTTTGTCTTGCTGTTCTCTTTATCTAAAATGCTTTTCCATTTCTCAAGTATCACATTGTTTTAGTGGCTTCTCTAACTCCAAAATGAAAAATTTTTTGCTCGCTCCTGTGTGTGTGTGTGCTTATAGCACCAGACATGTTCCTAGGAGGAGCTTGGTGGAAGGAACAATCTCCAGGGGGCTTGTCTTGGAGCCTTGTGTGTACAGCAAGAGCTCTGCTCCTACTTAGATTCTGAGTGGATTGAGTGGTGGGAGCTTGGAGAGAGGCATCCTCTGGCACCACAGAGAATATAAAGATGAATGGAACATGGTTAGTGGCTCATAAATCATTCTTAATGTTTGAGTGTAATTGCATTAAAGGTCTTTGCTCTTCAGGAAGTGGTTTTCTTCTACAGGTTTAGCAGAGTTCACTCAAGGGAGTGTTGCTTGCACAAGAGGCCACTGACAGGACCCTCTGGGTTCTGCCCGAGAGTTGGCACACTTCTGGGTGACTGGGTCAGTGTCCTGAAGCCCGTAGACCTGTAGGCTTCCATACTTCACAGCAGGTTTTTTTTTTTTTTTTTTTTTTTTTTTAGACTGAGTCTCTCTCTGTTGCCTAGACTGGAGTGCAGTGGTGCGATCTCAGCTCATTGCAACCTCTGCCTCCTGGGTTCAAGAGATTCTCCTGCCTCAGCCTCCAAAGTAGCTGGGATTACAGGCGTGCACCACCATGCTTGGCTAATTTTTGGATTTTTAGTAGAGCTGGGGATTCACCATGTTGGCCAGGCTGGTCTCGAATTCCTGACCTTAGGTGATCCACTTGCCTTGGCCTCTTAAAGTGCTGGGATTAAAGGCATGAGCCACCGTGCCCAGCCTACAGTAGTTATTAAATTAACTCTTTAATTCAACAAGGGACTCCCTTTGTCCGGAACTCTCCAGTGCTAAAGTCCTCAAGATGGCTTCCAAGGCCCTACCCTATCTGACCCCATTATCTCTCTAACGTTCTCTCCTACTTCTCTCCTTGGCTCCCTTACTCTCCTCCAGCAACACTGATTGCCTGGCTGTTCCTTGCACAAGCTAAGTGCACTACTGCCTGAGGG